GTTACAAACAAAGGCGGTACTTGAGTGAAGGAACAGCAACACACGTGTTAGATGAAAGGAAGAGAGGTTTATTGTAAAAGAGAATACACTACTGAAAGACAGGGAATCGGGTGGCAGGCTAGTAATTCCTGAAGCAAGCCCCAAGTATATCCTATGGTCACTATATATAGCTACTGATATAGTCAGTCCACATAGGTGATAGGGAGTGTGGGACATTCCATTACAACAATAACCATTTTAGTTGTTGTTGTTGTTGAAAGGCTTTAAATGATGTGGTTTCTATTATTTGGTAAAAATCTTTGTGATTCTGCAGCATTATTCCATGAGGTTCAAAGAAGGATGGTTGTCTAAGACTTACAGATTTCATTCACTCAAAGTCATTTTTAAGCATTGATCTGAGAAAGTGCTTGAAGATAGATAGATAGATAGATAGATAGATAGATAGATAGATAGAGAGAGACAGATATGAGAAAACTGAGAGAGATACAGGGTGCGATGGATAAATTGTCAGCTTAGAAAACTCACTCTGATCATTCTGATAAGAAAAGAACTCCCAAATTTGTTGGTGAGGGCCTTAAACTCAGCACAGAGGCCTATATGAAGTCCTTTGAGGAGGTAGCCCTGCCCTGGGTCAAGAGGGTGGCTGCTGGAAGACTCTATATCTGGAAACAGGACTCTGCACCATGACACACAAACAGGAAAACCTAGTCATGGTTGTCGGACAATTTCTGCAGACACATCACCCCTTACATCTGGCCACTTAACTCCCCAGACTGCAACCCACTTAATTATTATGTGTGTGGCGCAGTTGAACGAGAGATCAACAAAACTCCTTATAACAGCAAAGATGAACTGAAGACAAAGATTATGGCAGCATTCACCATCTTAAACAAGGAGACAGTCCAGAAGATTTGAGGAGGTTCCGAAGTTGTCTAGATGCCATGATCGAAGCCAATGATGATTTTATTGAATAAATTTACTCTTTAGTATTTCAAGATATTTTTGTGTCATTTTGGCGAATATATATGTTAAAATGAGATGTCAGTGTTATTTTCATTTTTGCATAATTTAGACAACTATTTATCCAACGCAGCCTGTAGATAGATATATAGGGAGAGAGAGTGAAATACATATGAGATAGATAGATAGATAGATAGATAGATAGATAGATAGATAGATAGATAGATAGATAGATATTAAAATACTGAGATAAATATGAAAATAATGAGATGGAAATGAAAATGCTGAGATAGATAGACATGACTGGGCAGGAACAGCAACACACTGGATATTGTGCAAACAATTTAGATTTGATGATTTAAGCAAGTGGTATGTGTACAATCCAGAATCAAAGAGCAGAGAAATAAAAATGCAAAATTTTGTGAACTTTCATATTGAAATGGATCTTGTAAACCAGTTCCAATGACCAAAGCCAGTCATTATAAAACAAGAAAATAACATTAGAGAAACAGAGGAGAGATACGTTTAAGCTGAGATAAACATATTTTTTTACTAATTGATCACCCAATACAAGTTCTAAGAGCCACTCAAGGTGGAGTGGGTTTGAGAAACATATTTGTGAAGACCCAGGAAGTCCATAAGAAGAGCATATCTAGAAGTCCATATTCATCCAACATGAGGCTGTCATAGTGCAAAAACATGTTTGCTAATAACACCCTACTAACTGCAACTTATCCATGCTTTGACACCAAATGACAAGCAAAAGTGCTATCAATTCTGTGCCGATATGCAAGAAAAACTTGAACACAAGTTTGAAGAGCATCTTGTCTTTAGTGATGAGGCCATATTTCATATGAATGGCAAAATCAACAAGCATAATGTTCGCATTTGGGGCAAAGAAAATTACCATGTTATAGTTGAACACATAGCATATTCACATTGAAGGTTTGTGAAAACCTGTAAAATCATTCCTGAAATCCACATACCTTTGAATTTGTTATTCAAATTTTGATTAGAGAATACACAACACTTAGTTTAATTTGAAAATTTTTATAAAACCCCCCTATAAAAGAACAAAACAGTAAATTTATAATTATAACCTTTTTATTACCTATTTTATATATATATATATATATATATATATATATATATATATATATATATATATAGATTTGAAGGCCAGGCAAACCTACCTAGGTTTCACCCACGTGGATTGTCAGGGTATGCTGGCCCTGACGATTCGCATAGGTGAAACCTAGGTAGGTTTGCCTGGCTCTTTAGGTTCATAGTTAGATTTGCTCTACTTAGCGTATTGAGCACTTTGCTTAGTTATTTTTATTTTACTCATGTTGGAGGTTTTTTTTTTCTTTGGACTCTGAACTTGGATTCTGGTCGATTATTTTCACCAAAATTACATGTTCCTAGTTCTTTCTATCTTTTTATTCCTTAGGTATTGGTTTGTTCATTTACAAGCCAATACCCCTAAGTTTTTTCTGGACGAGTATACTTACTTATATTTATAAGATTACTATATATATATATATGTATATATATATATGAAATTGGTAATAAAAAGGTTATAATTATAAATAACACAAATCATTACACCTTAACAAAAGAAGTCGGAAGGTCTGGTTTCTGCCTTCCCCAAAACTTCTCTTAAGCCTCCCAGTGGCTTATATATAAAGTCCAATAAATACATAGTGATACATGGTCTGAAGATTGTTTGAGGCATGAAAATGACAGTAACTACACAGTGATCAGCACTGTGTAGTTACACAGTCTGTATCTATATCTGTATATATATATATATATATATATATATATATATATATATATATATATATATATATATATATATATAAACAACAGTTTTGATTAAAAAGAACCAGCAAAGTCTGTCTGTTTCATTTTTTATTATACTTTTTCAACTTTTAGATAAGATGTTAAGAACCCTGCCCCTTAGGAGACTGCATCTTCAACAGTAATAATCACAAAACAATGTTAAATACTTACATTGGGCATGCACACATCACCCTCTCATTCAGATTAACCTGCCACCTGTTGAAACTTGATGCCATCTATGTACACATCGACCAACACATCATGAACAACCAAAATATAACTATCAACATAAGACAAATTTTAGTTGACAACACCAAAATATTCTATAAAACTGCTTGCAAGGAAAGACTCAAAACTCTAGAAGTTATTATTATAAAAAATAAACAGCCCACATTAAATAAGATATCATTTAAAAATTAAATAAATAAATTGCTTTTTTATTTTATACTGCCTCATTCCCAATGGAAGTTATCCATGATGCCATGTTAGACCATTTCAAATGTCCAGCATCCCAATGAATACCAAGATACAAAAATGAAGTTAAAACTATGACAGAGATACCACAGTACTCAAAGAAAAATAAAAAATATGAACTTTGGACAATTTATGCACAACTTAGAACATAATACTCAACATTTTATCCAAAAGTTGGAAAAGTATAATAAAAAAGTAAGCAAATATACCTTGTATGTTCTTTTTATTGAAACTTGTTTGAATGAATACTTGCTGCTAATATATATATATATATATATATATATATATATATATATATATATATATATATATGCGCCCAAAAATCTGGTTGAGCATACTTGAGAAAAAGGGTGATTTTAAAAAATGGTGACTCATACCACTATTAACATATTGCTCTTCAACTGAATTGAATTGAGCTCTGGGCCACTGATGTATTTTGCATAGAAAATGTTAAAATTTCCCTTTCTCTCTGTCATATAATGATAGCCTAGGGGAAGAATCTCTGCCTGATGCCAAACATGTTGGGTTTCAATCTCAGCTTGAAGCAATTGGACATCTAGCCACACTAAAGAGTTGTGTTACATAGCCTGTATGTGGATGACAGTATATATATATATATATATATATATATATATATATATATATATATATATATATATATTTATATTATATGAGTAACACTTAGTGAAAAGTGCTCAATATCATTGATAGAGTAACATATGCAATTGTATGGATACAACCCAGGGTCATGCTCTCATATCCATACAACTGAATATATATATATATATATATATATATATATATATATATATATATATATATATATATATATATATATATATATATATATAAAGAGCAACAGGAGAAAAAAAGAAATGGATAATAAAAGTACAAAGAGAGAAAGAAGAAGAGAGTCGAGGTAGGTTATAGATATTTTAAAATGAAAGAAGATTTGTACTTGGAAAGAGAGAAAGAGATGAACATACAAAACATTGAGAAAGAGAGAGAGAGAGAGATATCTGAGATCAACTGCGGCATATTGGATATAAAGGTTGGTTATACTTGTGTTACTGTTATGAGGAGAGTACTTGGTTGAAACATGTCTATAGCAACCTCTCTATTAACCAAGATGAAAGTACTAGTTTGAAATACTAAAAGTATATTGACAATTACTCATCTCAGAAATGAAGTATTAGATACGATCAAATTAAGGCATTTATGTACAGAGGGAGAAATAAGAAGGAGAGAGAGGGGAGGAAGAAGGAGAGAGAGAGAGGAGGAAGAAGAAGAGAGAAGAGGAAGAAGGAGAGAGAGAGGAGAAAGAAGAAGAGAGAAGAGGAAGAAGGAGAGAGAGAGAGGAGGAAGAAGAAGAGAGAAGAGGAAGGAGAGAGAGAGAGGAGGAAGAAGAAGAGATAAGAGGAAGAAGGAGAGAGAGAGAGGCAGAAGAAGAAGAAGAGAGAGAGAGGAGGAAGAAGGAGAGAGAGAGGAGGAAGAAGAAGAGAGAAGAGGAAGAAGGAGAGAGAGAGAGGATGAAGAAGAAGAGAGAAGAGGAAGAAGGAGAGAGAGAGAGAGGAGGAAGAAGAAGAGAGAAGAGGGAGAGAGAGAGGATGAAGAAGAAAAGAGAAGAGGAAGAAGGAGAAAGAGAGAGAGGAATGATAAGAACATAAAGAGATAGAGTTGTGAAAAGAGTAGTAAAGAAAGTTAGAGATAATTTCAGACATTCATGTGCAGAGAAAGAAGAAGAGAGAAAAAGAAGTGAAAGAGAGAGAGAGAGAGAGAGAGAGAGAGGGAGGGAGAAGAGAGGGATGGTATGAGCAGAGAGAGACAGTTGAGAAAAGAGGAGATTGGACAGTTAGAGATGAATGATCGTCAATTTGAGATTTATTCACAGAGATAGATAGAAAGGAGAGAGAAAGAAGGAAGGAGATGTTTATTAACAGGGAGAGAAAGAAGGATAGAAAAAGAAGAAGAAATAAAGGAGACTTATACATAGGGAGAGAGGGAGAAGAAAGAAAGAAAGAAAGAAAGAAAAAAAAGAAAGAAAGAAAGAAGAGAAAGAAAGAAGAGAAACATTTACTAAGAAAGAAAGGAGGAGAGAGGAAAAAAGAAGGTGACATTCACAGAGAGAGAAAAAATAACAAAAGAAGGATTGAAAAAGGAGATACAGAAAGATAAAAAATAGAGAAAGAAGAAAAAAAAGACACCTATTCACAGAAAGAGGGAGATAGAAAGAGAGAGAAAAGGGGGAAAGCAAGAAGGAGAGAAAGAAAGAAAGAAAGAAAAGAAAAGAAAGAAAGAAAAAAGAAAGAAAGATAGAAAGAAAGAAAGAAAGAAAGAAAGAAAGAGAGAAAGAAAGAACAAAAAAAGAAGAGACACTTTTTCACAGAGAGAGAAAGGACAGAGAAAGAAAAAATACAGACACAGAAAGGAGAGGGAAAGGAAGAGAGAAAAAGGAGGGAAAAAGAAGAAAAAAGAGAGAAGGAAACTTTTCTTCCCAGAGAGAGAAAGGAGGGAGAACGTAGAAGAAGAGAGAGAGAAATGAGGAAAGCACGCAAGCCTAGAGAGATGTATAGTTAAGAAAAGCGATGATAGGTGTGTATGTCTCTTGGGTGTAAGATGCCTGCAGCTGTTAAGAGTCATAACATAGCAGATTTCAGATGTTGTGACCAGTCATGTGGAACTTTTAGAACTGATGGGGGAGACAAGCAGTTATATGAAACTGTTTTTTTTTTTTACCACACCCAATATCTGCATTAGTAACAAGCATACTTGTAAAATCCAACATTCTTAAAAACTGATAAAATCAAAAGAGAGAACCAGGGAAAGGTTTTTAAAAAAACAAAAAAAAGAAAGAAATTTAGGGAAAAATGAAGATAGCGTAAGTTGTTTTTTTATATGTTCTGCTATCAGCTGGAACGATGTTGCTAATTAGATAATTAATTAGATATAATCAAAAGAGTTGTGGGGTGGGAACATAAATTTTATACTTGACAATTATTGGTCAAAAGTCTAGGAGAGAATGTTTATCAAACTCTTTCTGAAGATATTTGTCTTGTGCTCTGAGATGACAAATAATCATAAATTAATGTTATTTTCTGGTTTAGCGTTGCATTTCGTTCCATCTTTGGGTTCAATCCCTAAGACCACTGCACTACACCCAGTGGTTGATTTAAATATGGACTGCTGAGCCCTCTATCCTAGGATAAAACCAAAAAAAACAAACATGAAGATATATGACCTGAGGTGGTTTGTTTATTTTCAAATTTAATGGGGCTACTTTGAACTAATTTGAAATATTTTAGAGTATTTGGGCCCCTCTTGTTGGAGTGAGTCTTTTAAATTCAATGGTGACTGCTTGATGGGGCCCATTTTAGATCTTGGTGCACTTTTTTATATACATATTTTTTATGTGTCTACATTTAAAAAAATATCGTTTTCTATAGATACAGAGAGTAAATATACGTAATAAAGGGACCCCCAAATTCTATTAGCCCAAGGGCCTCATAAAGCCTAACCCTAGCCCAAGGGCCTCATAAAGCCTAAACCTAGCCTAAGGGCCTCATAAAGCCTAAATCTAGCCCTGATTACATCATAGTCCACATCAATGATGAACTCTTTTCATTTTACTTGCTTTGTTTTATTGAGTGATAAGGGTTATAGAATTATGAAATAGGGAGGTAAGGGACTCATGTCAACTGGTTAGCCAAAATCTTATTGCTCCATGCTGGATGAGCTTTTGAACTTTTTAAGTATTACAGATGTCTAACTGTATTTGTGTCATTTTGGTCTAATATCAAAACTTAAAGATAATAAATCACTGTCAGGATTTCATGCCGATGGGATTCAAAACACCTCCACTCAGATCAGGTCATCACATTTCTGACCAGTATGGTAGAGTTTGCTATTTCAGGTTAGCCTATGCACTCTGTAACAAGAAAAAGTTTAAAAAGAAAATGGTATCCAGAAACTGAAGCCAAGAAACAACAACCTCATCTACATATTTACTCTAACTCCTTACTAAGATGAGTTGGGACACATCATTTTTTAAGGTGGAGACCCAAGCATGTACACCCAGGACAGGAACAAAAATTACCTGCAGCCCCTGCAACAGTTGCTGCACTGGCCTCAGTGCAAGCATCAATCCCTCTCTCTAGTACAATGAGAGAGCGCAGCCTCGGGCAGCTGTTCCACAGGGCTGGGCAACTCTCAGTATAATTTTCCTCAGTTGCGACTCTGTCCTTTCACAGAGTCGCCCCTGAGTGCACTCTGTCGAAAAACAGAGCCATAACTGAGAGATGATAAATAGATGTGTTACAAACCACTCAAGAGAGAGGTTTACACACTTATCTATAAGGAAACCTCATCTATAAGGAAACAAATGTCAGTTGTCATACACAAAAAGATGGCAGGACTATAGAGTGAATGTGGTAAAACATCTCAACCATAACTTTTGAGCCACTCTTTTGTCAGGTCTTTTGTAGCATGATTGAACAACAGGATTGTTGAGTTTCACACACACACATTACAAAACAGACTGCATCAACGATGGACAATTTGCTTTTTACTCGATTTATTTGATGAGAGACAGTAGTTGCAGCATCCTTTCAAGGAAAAAGGAAGAGGAAGAGGAAGATAGAGAGAACACAGGTTGGTCAAAATCTAATCACTTGCCTCATAAATGAATCTGATTACAGAGAGATGACTTGATCCTTCTAATTCTTGCTGCATTCTGCCTGTCTTCACACTTTTTTGGTCTTATATTAAAACTTAAAGACAATCCATCACTGTCAGAATTCCACGCCCATAGGGTTCCTACCACCCTAACTCAGTTCAGGTTATCAGAGTTGAGACCAGTAGTTTGACATTCTGGGCCAACCTACGCATTCTGCAATATCCATTTTTGTTGCTTTTGACATGTCTTGCCTGACTCACATTCCAACACTTGTCAGCTGATACATCTGATTCATCAGTAAGACAGAATAGACACTTGTTAACCAAAATATTGAATATATATCTTTTTTTTTACTAATGTTCACCCAATACAAGGCCCATGAGCCACTTAAGGTAGAGGGTTACTGTGTGGACTTATATTAGTGTAAGAAAGAACAAGCATTAGGAGAACAGACCTGAAGCAGACTACAGAAGGAACCAGAAACCCAATCCTAAACAGGAAAAAAAGAAAAACCTCTACTTCTGTTGAAAAGACTGAGGTGGAGTATGAACTGAACGATAGGAAACATATCTACTCCGATTGATGGAGCAGAGAAGGTTATATCATGTTGAAACACTGGTTCTTGCACAATCACCAAAGTTAAGCAACATCAAGCCTGGTCAGTACCTAGATGGGTGATTGCTTGAGAATACCAGGTGCTGTATCATGTGGCTGGTATAATGGATAATACATTGGAATTTTTAGCTAGAAAGCTGAGTTCCAATTCCAGTTGGGTTCATTATATGCACTTCTGCACAAGTACCCTTGGGAAAGGTATGAATCCACATTTTCTCCCCCAGCTATGGGTTAATTAATAAGAATTATATCACTAAAACCATTATTATCTCCAAAAAAAATAAAATTGCATACAAATTATTTAGATTTCTGCATTAAATAACCCTGGGAATATCAATATGCTGCTAAACAAAAACAACTGACTGATGTAACGATTTTTATTTTATTTACACTCAGACTAATGCCTTCGTTTTTGTTGTTATTAACATAACATTTCAGTCATTGTACCTTTTGGCTTTCTTTAGAGGTCTACTGGCAAAGATAATCTTGAGTGACTTTAAAACCTTTTATTTAATCTATGGGATTGATTGCTTTCATTCCATTGTCTATGTACTTTTTTTACACAGTTTATTTATTGCTAGTCCTGCTACCTTCAAAAATTGAGTCTGTACTACCAGACCAGGGATTGAACTCACAATTGCTAATAATATTGCCCTTTTCTGCTTGTGGCACATTGCAAATTTGCATGACATTTCTTTTTATTATAAATTTCACATTGTAAGTTTTTAGGTGGATACAGGCCTGTGAGTGGCCAAGTTATTGGGGGACGTGTGTTTGCTGATGCTTGACTCTGTGAGTGTCTCACTGCACCTACTTAACTTCATGTTTTCCAGTGACCTGTGGTGAAAGAACTACATTGAACCAACAGCTGCATCTAGTGCAAGGAAAGTCAGTTCACTGTCTCGTACCAGAAGGCTTTTCGCATCAGAGTCCATCTTATAAATCTTCTAAACTACCATTCATCCATGCATTGAATATTCTTGCCATATATATGGTCTGATGCCCCTGCTGTTCATCTTAAGGTTCTCAACAAAATACAAAGAAGGATCTGCAATGTAATCGGTCGTAACTTGACATCTCAACTTCAGTCACTCTCTCATAGATGTGATGTGTCTTCCCGCTGTCAAATATTTTCATGGCAACTTTTCTGATGATCTGTCTTCCCTGATGCCCTGACTACATGAATTTAAGCGTGCTACTAGATTGGCATTTAGGTCCCACCCTTTTACTGTTGAAATAGTTAAATGCAACTGCCACTTCTACTCCAGCAGTTTCTTTGCTTCCTGACAGTGGAACTCCCTTCCGCTTACTTGCTTCCCTGATAACTACAATCTTCAAAAATTTAAATTCAATGTCAATCGATATCTTCTGTTGCCATGATCCCTGTTCTTCTTTTATTCTTTCCTCAATCCTCTCTATACCCAGTCTTTTCCCTCACTATCATTCTCTGTAACCTCCTGCGTGCTGGTGGCTTTTCCAACCTTGATTGGGGTGAAATGCTTAAAAAAAATAGATTGCCCATTAAAGGCAAATAGCTTCTATTGAGTCATTAATTACACAACCCTCAACGGCTTCCAAAGAGTTTCATCTATCCAATTTCATTCAAAAGGTTATGGTTAGGGTCTCCAGGCACCTTCCAATGATGCAGAATATTGGTTTTGTTTCCTCTTGTCAATATTTTAAAAGTCACCTGATTGAGAAATCAAACATGGTTGGTAAGTGCCATCTTTCTCAGACAATAGCCTAGTGGATTAAAGCATTGGTTCATTGATTTGGTAACACAGTAATTGTGAGTTCAATCCCTGGGTTAGGCAGTGTATAGTAGGACTCAGGGATAATGGGTGAGCAACAATTGAGCAGTACTAAAAAATAAGAATTAGATAATATCCCTGGAAATGGGTAGTGGAACGAGAACAGTTTACTCCTGTTGATTAAATAAAGTGTTCAGTTCAGAATTCCCTGTAAGTTAACTCAGATCAATATACACCTGATAAAGGCTGGAGGGCTCAACTGCCAAAATGTTGGGATAACAACAACAAAGATGAGGACAATAGTTTGAATATAAATAGCGTGAATAATTAAATAACACCTCATCACAGAAATTTGGACAGAAATCCAAGAGTTGAAATTTCTGGGATGAAGAAAGAAGGATTAGAGAATTAGAGAACTCACAGGACATATTGAAGGCTAGGGGAACAGAGGGAAACAGAATATAACAACTGCCATGAAAATATTTATAGAAAAGGCAGATTAAAGCTGTTATGGGATAATAGCCTATTATCCTAATAACATGGTTGGTTCATGGATTTGGTGAGATAGTAATTGTGAATTCAAATCCCTGGATATCGTGTGTACTTGGACTCAGTGCAAGATGGGTTGAGCAAAAACAGGAGATTATTAAATAAGAAGTTGATAAGATATCCCCAGACATTGTCAATGCAATGTGAACAATCTTGCCCCATAGATTAAATGAAGGATTCAGTTCAAAATTTTCTGAAGGTTACCAAAATCAGTAAACATCTGATGAAGTCTGCAGGGCAAAACAACCAAAATGTTGCTATCATAAGTAGATAGATGAGAACACGAGTATACATGTAAATAATTCCTCATCTCAGCAATTTAAACGGAAACATTTGTAATCACTTGGAAAAAGGAAACCACTGCCCAATGAAGACAAATTGTACATTTTACACTAAGTTTCTATGTTGGATATGATTTCAAGACTGGTTATAATGACAATGTATATTAATTCCTTCGCACAGATGAAGAATAATTAAATCAACATCATTTCTTATGGGAAGGTGAAACAAATGAAATGTATAACAAACAAATGTCTATTTTACAGTCTCTGTTGTCAACAAGTTATTGTCATTATCCAAATTTTATTGTCAGTGACATGAGCAATTAGTATAGAAAAAATAGACTTTTCACATAGAAGAAGTACTTTTAAAAGTCAATAAACTATTTTTATTCTGTGAAATTACTTTTCAAAGTTTACAAATTTTTTTTCTAGACTTTAACAGGAAAACGGAAATTTTAGTCTTACATCAAAAGGGTGAAAAGATAACTGTTACTATTGAGGATAAATCCATATTTCTGTCTGTATTGTAACGATTTACACTATTTACATTGCTCGGACTATTGTCCTAATCTTTATTGTCATATTTATGATGTTTCAACAATTATATGCTGTGGCCTTCTTCAGGTGACATATATTGGAATTTCAAACTTAACCCTTTATTTAGTCCACTGGAGGTAGATTATTCTAGTTCCACATGCCATGCCTCTTCCGGGTGTCTCAGTATCAGTCAACTTTTCAAGTTTTTGTTCACTTCTGCTGTAGCCAGGTATTGAACACACAACTGTTTGGATCAAGTCACTGGATTCAACCAACACTTTTATCCACCTTGACGACATCAGTGTATGAATTTTAGGGGCTTATAAATGTAATATGTCAGTAACCATTTTTACCAGAGCTCATATTGCAATTTTGTTGTTTTTCTCTAGCACTCCGTATTACTGGTTCCCATATTGTATTTATTTCTATGCTTGGCCAGCTCAGGAGGTTTTGTGGCTCAGCATATTCGCTGATTCCTAAGTTTTTGTAATGTAAATAATTACAATACATCATCTCAGAAATATAGACAGATACCATGAACAGAGTATGTGAAAAAAACGAAGAAGTTTTATGCAAAATAGAACTTTAAAGAAACTGCTAATAATAATCAGAAAGACAAAGCTGGAATTTTTGGTATTGAACTCCCAACTCTTTGGGTCAAGTCACTAGATTCAGCCAATACTTTTATCCACTGCCCAATGCAGAGGTGAAAAATAACTTGGAGAGTTGAGTTACTAAGAAAAAAAAAAAGTAAAAGGGAAATAATTAAAACTGAAATATCCAGAAAAGGCATGGCATGTGGAACTAGAACAATCTACCTCAGTGGACTAAATAAAGGGTTCAGTTAAAAATTCCAATGTATATCACCTGAAGAAGTCCTGAGCATATAATGGCCAAAATGTCATGAATATATATCAATAAAGATGAGGACAACAATCTGAACAATATAGATAGTGTAAATAAATCAATATTTATTTATTTATTTTTAATCATTTCCCCCCAAGCAAGGCAAGAAAGCGACAAAGATACAAGGGGTTACTGAGTGTGAAAGAAAAGTAAAAGAAAAACATTATTAAGGAGTGAGAACGATAGAAGAAGAGGGATAAAGAAGAAGACAGTAGATAAGATAGTTGACAGTGCATTTCAATTTTTGAAGATCAAAGTTGGCGGGGGAGCAAGAAACTGGAAGGGATCTTCAGAAGTGAGAAATGCAAGAAAAGAAACTCTAAGTATAGAATTTATATTGATTTTCTAAGCGTAGCTTAGATGTGGCACAAGGCTGAAAGTATGGGGCACCCAGTGAGGATCGAACTCACTATATAGTCATAACTCTTTTAGTGAGACAAACTTGTCAGCCATTACACCACGCTGAGGTGCCATTGTTAGTTAGAATTTATATTTAGCCAATTCAGCTTTAAAATGATGAGACTTTTTTGCCAAACTACTACTGCATTTAAATTCATTAAGTCTAGGTTGCCATAGAAAAAAAGTTCATCAGAAGAATTACCATTTAGAGAAAAGGCACAATAACATTGCAGATTCTTCTTTGGATTTCATTATGAATCTCTAAATATATAGCAGGATCACCAGATAATATGTGACTGCAATATTCAAAGAATGGTAGACTTATAAATATATAAGATAAATTCTGGCAAGAAAAATTGTCTAGAACAACACAGGGAATGAACTTTCCTAGCAACAGACCTAACAATTGATTCAATATAATTTTCATGTCAGTAGAGAATGTTAATCAAAGAAGGCACAAAGAATTGCTCTCTTGGAGGTTAGCATCAGGTATGTAGATGTAAGGCAGAAAGGGGTCTTTGAGATGATTGATAGAAAGCTGTTTCATCTCAGACATATACAAGAAAAGAGGGAAACCCTGACTTTCCTTAAGAAAATCAAACTTTATTTTATGCTAAAACCTTCCTTCTTGTGCATACCAAAATCCTTTGGACAACAGAGAAGATCTTCCTATAGACTTATAGAATGTATCATGTTGAAACACTGGTTCTTGTACAATCAGCAAAGTTAAGCAACATAGAGTCTGGAAAGTTGATGGATGATGGCTTGGGAATACCAGCTGCTGTAAGCTTGGATGTGCAAGTGGTGTAATAGATAACAGCTTCAAATTGGAGATTGGAGAGGAGAATCAAGTTTGTTGGAGATTGGAGAGGAGAGCCAGGTTTGTTGGAGATTGGAGAGGAGAGTCAGGTTTGTTGGAGATTGGAGAGGAGAGTCAGGTTTGTTATATTCACTTACATGCAAATAACCATGGGAAAGGTATGAATTCACATCTTCTAATCCAGTTATGGATTAATTAGTAGAACATACAGCAGTAAATTGTGATTATTTCTCAAAAATTCTTGCAATATAAAAATATTTTCTGGATTTAAATAACCTGCAAAAGGTTGATAAGCCATAAAAACAAATCAATCAATCCTAATATGAGTGTCTTCTAAAATATGGTATCCACTAAAAATAAGAACTAATATATATATATATATATATATATATATATATATATATATATATATATATAGAGAGAGAGAGAGAGAGAGAGAGATAGATAGATAGATAGATAGATAGATCTATTATTACAAACAGCTAAGAAGAAAGAGAAATATAGTAAAAGAAGTTGCATTTGAAAGCTGCACTTATTCTTGGGTCTTGAAAAAAATGGGGCTTGGAAGAAGCAAGGTGGGGGTTGGAGGGTCTAATAAACAAGGAATTGGAATAAGCATTCATGTAGCATAGGAATTAAGAGTATTTGACTGAGAAAATTGATAAAAGGCAACACTAAGACCAGCCAAAAATTATTATCTATATAGGATGAATTCTTGGGATATGAGATGAGAATTCAATTTTCATTGGGAACTGTTAATTTATTCTTGCTTCATGCTGCTTATATGAAAGGCCAAAGTGAGTATTCAACCTTATTTAAATAATTTCAGAGCATTTGATTGAGAAAACTGATAAAGGGCAACACTAAATTGAAGAAAAAAACAACCAAAAATTATTAATGAAAACATTTAATATCAGAAACCAACCAACTTAAAACTATTGTTTCTACGACTATTATTAGGTAGTAAACAAAGAATATGTGATTAATCAGAAGGAAGATGTTGAAATATGGCTACAGAATTTACCTTTGTATGGCCATAGGCTTATCTATATGAGTTTCTTGAATATGAGATGTTTTTGTTGGAAGTTAATTCTTTATTCATACTTCATGCTACTTAAATGTTTTGAAAATAATTCAACCTAAAAAATAGTTAAAATGAGAAACCGACCAACTATTACTTCTACTACTATTAGGTAGTAAACAAAAATTATGTGGAGAACCAAAAGAAGATTTGACCATTGCCTCATTATAGTTATCTGTGGTTGAATTGTTTAAAGCAACATCCATATAAGATGAAATTCTGGGATATGGGATGCAAGGTCAAGTCTTGTTCAAAGCTACTTCTTGCTTACACGATTGTTTATGATAAAAAGCAACACAAAGATCAGGAAAAGGCTAGACAAAAGCTGAATTATAAGAAATAGTTAATATCAGAAACCAACTATTATTTCTTCTACTGCTATTAGGTAGTAAACAAAAATTAAGTGAAGAACCAAAAAGAATGATTTGCAATATAACTATAGCTGTGACTTTTGTCTTACCTTGGAGTTTTCAGGATATGAGATGAGAATTCAATTTTCATTGGGAACTACAAATTTATTAAATTGGTTCAAGCTGGTGACATTAATGGCCAGATTCACCCTAGAAAATTTCAATACAGAGCAAGAATAAGAATTTGACTAACCTAAGAAAGGATTGCAAAATAACTATAGATTTGACTTTCGTCTTGCCAGAGGCTCATCCATATATCTATCTTACATATATATGTCTACCATTCATCCATGCTTAGAATATTGCTGCCACATATGGTCCAGTGCTCCTGCCGTTTACATCGAGCTCCTTGATAAGATCCAAAGAAGAATCTGCAATATTATTGGTCTTGATCTGGCAGCTCAGCTTCAGTCACTCTCCCAACATGTCTTTTCTATAAATATTTTCATGGTAATTATTTGAATGAGCTCTTTGCTATGGTACCTAGAGTTTTTGAATTTAAGCGCAGCACTAGACTAGACTTAGCCATAAGTTCTATGCTAACAATTTCTTTTCTCGCATTCCTTGCTTGTGGAACTCCCTTCCAGCTCCATACTTTCCAACATCTGCAAAAATTTAAATGCAATGTCAATCACTATCTACTGTCTCCCTAATTACTCTCTTCTCTCCCTGTTCATTAATGTTTCTGTTCCTAATTCTTCCACAGCCTGTAACCCCTTCTGCTTTAGTAGCATTACTGATTTGCTTGGTGTGATTCCAATAAAAAAAAAGAATACCAGCAATGCATTTTCATAGTCAAAAAAATTATCGGCAATACATTTTTGAAAAAAAAAAAATTACCAAAGCTCCCAAGGAAATTAAAATTCAGCATTAAATGTGGAATTGATATGCCGTCAAACAAATCAGACCAAACCAAATCGTCCTTATGAGATAAGATTCCTTCATATGAAATGTTGGTAGTTACTTTTTAATTATTAATTTGTTATTATCTATTATTACTTTTATGTTGGTAATTACCTTTTTATTATTACTTTGTGTTGGTAGTTATTACTTATTATTTAGTATTACTTATTATTTCTTAATTATAATTTATTATTACTTTATATTGGTAGTTACTTTTTTATTATTACTTTATGTCCCATAAACATTTTGAAAGTACTCAGCTTATAAAACTGTGATAAAAAGTAACATGAAAATGAAGAAAATATCAACCAAAAATGATAAGGAAAATACTATTGCTTCTATTGCTACTATTAAATAGTAAGCAAAGAATATTGTGTGAAGAATTTGTAAGTAGAAACAATGACTAGATTTGAATATTATCCAATGATTAAGTTTGATTCAGTCATCATCAATGTGAGTTGAGTTCTAAGATATAAGTGCAAGTGCATATTTTGTTGAAACAACTTCTTTAAAAAGAAAGGATATTCAGTGTAGAAAATTGTGATAAAAAGCAACATAAAAAGATGAAAAAGGAAAAAAAAACTTTATATAAAATTCAACCAATTTATGACTATTCTTTCTATTACTATTAATTTGTACTATGCAAAGAATATGGTATGAAGCAATAGAAAGAAAGACTTGCAATATGGTTGAATTTGAGTGTAAGCTCATCTCTTATGGCTGAATAAATGTAGAAATGGAAAATGAGTTCTCTGGATATTGGATATGAGTTCAAGCCTTGATAGAAAGTTCATGTTTATTCTAAATTTTTTTTAATAATTTCACCTGAAGCAAGGTGATAATGCCACTAATATGCTAAAGGTCACAGAGAGTGAAATAGAATGAAAAGACTTTAATGAGGAGAAAGGACAATAAAAGAACAGGGCTCAGGAAGACAGAAGATGGCAATTAACCATTGCATTTAAATTTCTGAAGACTGTAGTTATCAGGGAAGCAAGTAAGAGAATTCCAAAGGTGTGAAGTGCAAAAAAAAAAAAAAAAAACTGTTGGAATAGAATTGACAATTTCATCTAGCTAGTTTAACAGTAAAATGGTGAGACCTAGTTGCCAACCTAGTAGCATGTTTAAATTCATGCAGTCTATTCACGAAGGAGGTGTTTATCAGAACAATTTCCATAAATGTTTGTAGAAAAGATAGAGGGAAACCATGTCATGATGATGGGAAAGTGAGAAAGGTCAAGATGCGAGTTCAGGATTCTTTCTTTCTTTTTATGTGCTATGTCCTTTCATGTCATAGGCGATCATGGCTCTCCACCACCTCTATCACTTGTAGTTATCAGCAAGCTCCTTTCCTCTGCTTCCTCCTGCAGACCATGTTCTGTCATCCACCTGCTCAAGCTTGTCAGGTATGTCACACGTTGTTTTCCCTTGTCTCTCTTTCCCTCTGTTTGACCCGTGAGTATCAGATTCACCAAGCCCTCCTTCCTCATTATGTGTCCCAGAAACTTCAGCTGCTTCTTACTGATGTTAAGTATAAGCCTCCTCCTTGTTTGTATCCTCTCTAAGACTCCTCTCATTGCTCACATGCTTGGTCCATGATATCCTTAGCATCCTTCTGTAGAG